AAGAGCAGAAAATAAGATTAAATAAGCAATGCCAATATAACCTCGTTATTTTGACAATTTGCTGATGTAGGTCATACCGAATGGCTCAATATTTCCTTTTTCTTGATTTTGTGTTCAAATTATCTTACGATTCGAGTGGAAAGCAAATGTGTATTTACGAGCTGTTAGTACCTAATTAAATACACAAAGTTTGCTGACCACCTGATTGAAAACGCCCCAATTCCGAGAATTTTCGTAAATAAAATATTTGTAGGTTACGATGAGATGAAGCTACTTACGAAGTTTTAGCCGGACGTTAATAATTTGATAAAAAGGGGTCTGTATCACGGACTAATACGTGATGCATATACATTGTTAATATTCTTGAAAATGTAAAATCGTCAAAATAAAAAAAAGATTTACTAAAAAAAATATTACGGAGATATTGAATATTTAAATATATATATATATATACACAGGCGGATTTATGGGGGAGGGGGCTTTCGGGCTGAAGCCCCCCCCAAAATGGCAAAATATAACCATGTTTTATAGAAAAAAATATTAGAAACTATCTCTTAAAGTATTATTGTTCGTGTAATAACATTTAATAGGACTTCAAGAATCACTTAAACACCATTTCATATAGATAATTCATTTCTTTCTTCTTTTTTTAAAAAAATTATTATCGTTAGATATATGAAAAAAAATCTTTCGGGCTGAAGCCCCCCAAAATTAAATCCTGAATCCGCTAGTGTTTATATACCTTCGTGGATTGTAAGGACAATGGACTTCTAATATTTAATATTTAGTACAGTCGTCGAGTCCTTTCCTCTCCCAAACTAAACTCAAATCACTTTAAGAAGTTGAAATGCAACATATATCGAAATCTACTTTCCATGAACCTTAAAGTATGGTGGAAACCGCCCGACTACTATACCACTTTAAAATATTCGTATAAGTCAATTTCCTTAGACATTCCTTTCGACTGGATAGGATTAAAGCCAATTGAAACAGATTTGAAATTTATCTTCATTAATAGAGACTTTCCCGCAAATACTGCAAGTGAGAAAATGTGAGCTATCAACTAGGTATTGGAGAACCGGTACCGATGCCTCCTTGGCAATAAATATTCAGCCAGCCCTCGTTCCTTCCTTCCTCTACTCACCCTGTAATTCTAAACCCGATGTTTCTCTACTAAATTGCCGCAAGTAGAAATGGATAATCCGCTAATGGTAGTCGTCCTTTAAGCCAGTTCTCGATAAGTAGAAATCGAATGAAACATCGATCATAGGATTTACAATCTGTAACAAATACCGCCAGCTTTTGATTTGTCTTTAAATACCCGACTACAAAAATTGGGAAATTCTATCCACCCTAAGGAAATATCCTTCTATATCTACTTCCAAATTCCCTTTCAATCTAACAAGATAGTCCGTAATACAGACCCCTTTTTATCGAATTATTAACATCCGTCTGTAACTTCGTTAATAGTTTCATCTCATCGTAACCTACAATTATTTTATTTACGAAACCTCTTGGAATTGGGTCCACCTTTTTTATTGAATTTATGATGAAATTATTTTACGATCCAAGTAGAAATTAAATGGGTATTTACATTACTTTTTAGTACCTAATTAGGTAGACAAAGTTTATCCCTCTCCAGATTGAAAACGCCCAAAGAGTTCAAAGAGTTTTAGTAAATAAAATAGTTGTAGGTCACGATGAGATGAAACTATTTACGAAGTTTCAGGCGGATGTTAATAATTTGATAAAAACGGCTCTGTACAACGGATCAAGATGTTTACACCTCGGTAGATTAATAGGGAAATTTACATCTGTATTTTGCCTACCATCCCCGAAAGAAACTCTTGACTCGGATGTTTACCTGCACAGGTACATGGGTACAAATCTATTTGCCTGGAACCTTTATGTGTAGTGAAGCGCACCCGACTATTATACCTAGTTTAAATATTCGTAAATTTCAATTTCTATATCAATCTATCAAAATGTTTAATTGAATACGGAACTAAATTCCCTCAAAGTAGGTAGAATTTTCCAATTTCTTTAATCAGGTTTCTTTTTTTTTTTATCCGGATATATATTTTTTAAAGCTTTTTAAGACGACAACAATAGAATAAATTTGTTCACTTTTTTTATATTCTTTCACTATATCGTCTTTTCGGCTACACGTTGCTTTCCGGGATGAATGATTAACTCCCGAAAACGGAATTATTAACTGGTAATCTTCAGGTATAAGTAAGTATATAAGTTGCCAAGAAAACGCGTGCTTTGTAACGCTCTAGCCCACTCGGCCACTCCTCCCCAACTTGACATGACCTTAAGTATTAATCGTATTTCCTTATGCTGTGCCTAGACTTCCTCTATTAATTCCCTCTAACTATAACTATCAAAAGATGTTTTCTCCCCTACCGCAGAAAAAGATGCAAATGCACCGCCCGGACTAGAAACAGAAGACAGTCGTAAAACCGCCCGTTATACAGATCGCAGGAGGTGAAAGAACCCATAAAGAGAGACCCTTGATCAGTGGGCCTAAGTCACGTCGATTACTGAGCCCCTTTTCCACATCGAACTGATTCGATAATCGATTCCGACCTATCCCAATAAGGCCTTAACGTGTTCCTTTTAAGGCTCGAGTAACAAACGATAAATCTCCACTAGCCTACAGAGCTTGGTCCCATTAAGATAGTTCCAATCACCTATATCAGTTCCATTGCCTATTTCTCTTGCCAACAATCTTCTCCTTCTTTGAATTGCCAACCATTTTGGACTTATAAATCCAAAATTGTATTATTCCATTTCATTAGCTATCTGGGACTAGTATTTTCTTGTTTGCCTTAATAATACTTCTAAACACAATTTATATAGAAAAATTAAATTTGTAATTTGTATATTCTCCATTATCCATACCCTATCTATGAATGTTAAACCATTTATTCTTTATCTATAATGACCTTTTCTAAATTAATTAATTTTAGATGATGAACTTAGTCTTGGGGGACTAAATCATTAGCTACTTTAAATGAAGAGGAAATGAGATCTGTCCTGTAAATAAAACTTGAAGCTTAAAAAACTACATTTGTTGCTGACTGCTACTCACATCATAATAAATACAGAGCTGTAGAAGTGGTTTAGCCAACCTCCCAAAAAAATTTTTTTTAAGATTAAATAATTATTTGTGCATAAAATCTAAATTACTCTTTTTGAAATTGGGTCAACTACCTTTAAAAAATAATAAATCTATCTAATAAATCCATTTCTCCTTAAAATCAAATGAAGAAGGAAAATTATTAGGATTGTAAAATGTTTAGACTTATAATTTATAGTTAATATTATCATCAAATAATATTATATGTACTAATACAATTAATAATTAAAATTGTATTATGTCTTATACGAACCCGAATTATGAATAAGAAGCTTAGAAAACCTCAGAACTTGGCTGCCATGTGGTACCATAATCATATTTAATCCTTTGACTCCAGTAGCTCATTTGCGAGTTTATACCATACGTTGCATCCTCAAATCCACAAAAAAAGATTAGTTTTGTTTGCATAAATTTGTTTAAAATGCTGTTTTGAGTCAACCTACAAGATCTTAGCTTTCTAAAATGAATTTTAGCGTATTTATTCGACTTTTAAAAAATGGGATATATGCCTTCCTGACCACACACAGCAATGCAAAATTAGAGCAGCAATCCCGCAACACTTCACTTATTTGTTTATTTCTGAATAGCAAAATAGCTGAAAATGATCACAAAAATAACTGTTATTGATCATAAAAATTAAATTATCTTACTTCTAAAATAAGGACACCGATGGTGGGATTCGAATTATATATTTAGATTTTTTTCTTACCTAAAAAAGTTCCATATTGAAAATAGCACAGTTATAAATTTTATTATTTATATATACATTATTATACATTTATTTTGAGTTTCAAACACTTTTATATTATAAGATATATATATATATATATATATATATATATATTGTTTTTAGGTGGATGGAAAATGATAAAACAACTAAAGCATCATTTTAAAACTGTATATTTTTGCATTTTAATTTATATATATATATATATATATATATATATATATATATATATATATATATATATATATATATATATATATATATATATATTTAATTGTTTAGTAGGCAGAGATTCATGTGTACAAAAATCAGCATTTAGTAAAAACCTAAATAAAAAAAAAAGAAAGAATTATAAAATAAACCAATTAACATTTATATTATGTATAAAACATTTAAATAGAATATAAATAAAATCGTTGATATGACACAAATAACAGAGAAAGGAGATGGGAGATACCTTGGGTTCAGAATAAATATGCAAGTGATAGCTTCCAAATGGTTAGAATCCGGAACGACTGCACTGAATCAGCTTCAGGGGACTAATGAATGCACCGACCAAACCACAAGTGAAATGGTGAAGGCGGGACTTGCCCTATCTGTTAAAGTGGCAACAGCCCAGGCGGGAAGGTATACATCCCGGCATCAACAGTGACTCAACTCACTAACGGGAAGGCATGTATCCCATCCGCAGTCAAAGAGTTAAACTTCTAATGTCAAATTATATTCATCATTCATAGAAGACCTAGAATACCAGATAAAATAAATCTGTATTTATTAAAATTAAAATAATTTAAAAATTATTTTCATGTTGTAGCTGTATCGTTTTTACATAGCCATTGTAGTAGAACTACCAATAAACAAACCACATACTTGTTTGGGGCAGTGATTTCAGGAGAGCAGCAAATTTTGGCAAAAATTGTATTTTTAGTTTCAAATTAATTTTTAAATGTTAAAAACTTTGTAAATATGATTATTTATTTATAAAATCATATTCACAATTCTGAAATTTTAATTCTCTATGTCAACAACTCTTATATCACATTTTGATTTTATTAATGATTTCATACTTAATTAATTTTAAATTAGTTTAAAATCTGAACAATTCATTTTACAAAACTGATATTACAGGGCAAGAGGATACATCGTCTACTACCAACAGAACCTCCTATTCTTGCTTATGACCAAGATTTAGCCATCAACTCAACTCTGCGTTATGATATTCTATCTGGAAATGAAAAGGAAATGTTCTTTCTTGATCCTCAGAATGGAAGCCTATTCTTGGAGAAAGAAGTTGACTTAGAATCACTTCCGGATTCTGTTTTTGTGCTTCAGGTACCTAAATTAAAATTCATGTGTGAATTCTTCATTGTTTTCTTTTAAATTTTTGTTCTGTTTAATAATATAAATCAATATATTTACAATTTTTAGAAAAAATCTATTGCCAGTTTATCTTTTCTGATATTATAATCCAACATTCTGCCCAATTTCATTAAAATTAAAGTTATTTTATCCTTCATGACATGGTAAAATTTATATTTAATAAGCTAAAAAAAATGGAGTTATGAGACCCTAAAATTATCAGGAAAACTTCAGCACTTTACTTGATCTTGTTAAGCAATTTTCTGTTAGAAAATAATATATAACATTAATGTATATTATAGGAAATTTCATCTATATAATAAAAAATAAAACATAATATTTTGTTTTTATAATGTTACTTTGACTTGAAAAAGCTTCTGATTATTCTTTATTTCACAAACCATTTTGCATTCTTATCAACAGATAGAAGCTTCACAGTTAGACAATCCATTAAGAAGAGGGATGGCAAGGTTAGAAGTGGAAATTCTTGATATCAATGACAATCAGCCACAATTTGAAGTTGGAAGTTACAATATAAGTATCGTTGAAAACCTTCCGAATGGATTCAGTGTGTTGCAAGTTGTAGCTACAGATATGGACCAGGTTTACTTCAATTTTTATTTATTATTTTTTTCTGATCTGTTTTTCAGAATAAATTTAATGAAAAGAAAAAGACTTTTTGATTTTATATTACTTTTTAATGCATTTTCTTTTTAATTTCTTCAAAGGGAAACAATGCAGAGTTTGCCTATCATCTGGTTGATCCTAGTCAGTCCTTCAGCCTGGATAGCAGATCGGGTTGGCTGACTGTAAGAAACCAAGCTAGGCTAGACAGAGAGACGAGACCTTCCCTTAACATGAGGGTTATGGCCAGGGAAAAGACACCATCGGTACTTCAAATGGCTAGGTAGATCATCAAAGCATGTTATTAAATTTTATAGATGTATCAAAATACCTCAACTTCTACTAATATACACTTTTTATGAGACAAGTGTTATGATGACTGTTGCATTAAAAACAGAGCATTATGTATCAATGACTATATGGAATAATGTATAATATATATTTTTTTGGTTTTTTAATCAATATTTTGAATAATCCATAAGTTGTTTAAATTTATTCTTGTTTATTATGTTAATCTTAACGCTGAATACGTAAATGTATTAACAATAAAAAATATTTATTACATATAAATATATACATATAGATATAATTATTTTCTTGCAAAATAACTTAATTTGTTTTATTCTAGTGATTCTTCAGTCAATGTGGAAGTGACACTTCTGGATGCGAATGACAACAATCCAACATTTTTACCGAGCAACTTGTATGAGTTCAGTGTAACAAATTTGGCACCCATCGGTTTCATTATTGGCAAAGTAAATATTGTTAATGTATATTTAAGTTTTTAAAAAATGGAATGTACTACTAACTTCTTCAATACTGCCCATCCATATTTATAATTATAATTTTTCATGATGCATGATATTACATTTTACATGCATCATTAGAATCTAGTTATGTGTGACTTTTTTTAACCTGAATATATATAACTATAATTATACCTCAAATATATTATTTTTTCATCAGTTGATTTTGAAAAATCTCAGTCGCTGATCTGTAAGATTTTATGTAGAGACACTCATTTGCAGGTAAACGCTATTGACCCAGACATCGGCAGGAATGGCTTAGTCCGATACGAGCTCAAAAAGGATAATAAAACCTTAGACACCCAGACTTACTTCAGCGTGTCACCAATCAGTGGAGAAATATCTGTAATTGGTAGCCCTCTTCCTGTCGGAAGGAGATCTCTTTTCATTGAGGCAGCAGACCAACCCGAGAACCCTTCGGAGAGACGCTTATCATTAGCATTGGCAAGCATTGAAGTCACTCTGTCAGGTAATCACTGACATATCCTTTCATAAACAAGTAAACATTTTTATCAAATAAAGCTTTATTTATGCTTTTTAAATTATCACTCTAGATAATCATGTTTAATTTTTTTTTTTAAATCAAAATAATCAAGTGAGAACTTTATAAAAAATTATGAAAATTTTTACTGAAAATAATAAAATGAAACATTGTATAATTTTATGATTGATTTATTAATAACTAATCTTTCTGTTGTTTTTTTTCAATGCAAAGCACATTATGCTATCATTTAATGTATAGTTTGTGGTCTCCTCATTTGAATATATTTAGAATTTAAATAAGTCTTAAACTAATCGATTTGATGAGCATTGATTATCAAATTTTCAAAATATGTAGTCCTACAAAGTTTTTTAATCATGTAAAAATTTAAATGATTGGATACAAATTAATCTGAAAATTGCTATCAAATTGAAAATGATCTGAACTTTTGACTGAAATGGAAATCGATCTGTATAGATACTAGTGTATCGGTATTATTATATATCAATAAGGCAATATTGAATATAATCTAATAAAAATTCGGGTCCCTACATCATTTTAAGTACAGATCAAATTAAATCATTTCTTTTGTGGTATTTTAATCATAAAAATATCTAACAATCAATAGAATCATCTAACTAATTTTGAACATCATTTGTCATTTTAGCAAAATCTGGAATCGCTCCCGACTTTGTTGGCGCTCCATATGAGTTCTGGGTTGGCGATGATGTACCAGTTGGAACCAGTGTTGGCCAAATTCGAATCTCTGAAGCAGTCGATAAGTCACGAGTGGTATTTGATCTACTTCATTCTTACCATGAAGGAGGTAATTATTTGCATTTTAGTAGTGATATTTTCATAAAATTTATTTTATATATATAAATCTAATATAAGATAAAGCATCATCATTTTTTAAGGTGATGATAAACACATAGTTTTACTTGTACCTTTTCTTTATTATCCAACCTATCTTTCCCTTTTAATCCAGTTTTTTAATACATTCTATAGAATTAATATGAATTGTATCTTAAACCTATTTTTTTTTCTTTTAGTACCATTTGCAATTGAAGAAAGATCAGGAGTTATAACAGTTGTGGATGAAATATCAAAGTATGAAAATTCATTATACGACTTTGAAGCAGTTGTGACAGATGAGAAAAGAATGACTCTGGTCACAAATGTCACTATACATATAGTTGAAAGTGCCGTTTCTCAGTAAGTTAGAAATACATTTTCATTTTAACCATTTTGGCTTTATTAAACATGTCTTCTTTTCTATAAGAATACTGTTAGTTTAGTTTTAGAACTTTCGTATATATATATTTTTTTGTACAGTATGGAGAAACCTTCACTTTTGGAATTCCGTGTAAAGGAAAACAAAGCAGGTGATATAGTTGGACGAATTGTTGTGGGAGTGAGGAAAGGAAACCCCAAATTTTCTTTACTGGATGATTTCTCTGCGTTCTCTATTGCTCAAGATGGAACACTTTACACGAAGGCAGCTCTTGACAGAGAACTCAGATCATCATACTTCATTACAGTTGTCGCTCAAATTGGAAGGGCTGAACGCTATTTTCAGGTCTATAAGATTACTTTCAACACAAATTCGGTCATTTTAAGAGTGGTTTAATCAATTAATGATGTTTACTGTTATGAATTCAACTGTTTAGCTCTTGTTCTTTACATATTTTGGAATTAGTTATTAAGCAAAAGGTTTTAAATCTTGGCTGTTGAGTTATGTTTAAAAATAAATAAAGATATATTAAAAAATTAAAGCTAAATACTTCTGCAGCCTAGACCAGAATTGCTTACATTTTTATCTCCTTTTCAACTTGCATTATTTCTTTGCCTTATACAGTGTTTTTCATTCCCAAAGTATTATTTATAAAGGTAATTTTCAAATATTTTGAATAAGTTTACTTTAAAGTCTTTAATAATCAAATTAAAAAGCTTTTTACGACTTAAAGAATTGTTCTCTTGTTTTATTTTCATGATTACTTTGAATTGCCTGTTTTAACCTAAACCATATTATTTACTTAGTTGGTACTCCAGATGGTATCAAGAATTATCTTTTTCTAATAAAGGATGATCCAATTTGATTTTCCTAGCTTTAATATTTAAAATTGATGCATTTTGCATAGGAATTTGAACCTTCATGCATATAAAATGCAGATAACTTAAGAACTGAAGCTAGGAGACCATGGGAAGCGATAAATTTATGCTAATTGGGTATTAAAGCACCAGGAAGTTGATGCTAATTTTTCAAAGAAAATTTTCTTCTCTGAAGAAGCTCACTTCTAGAAATCTTAATAAATCTTATTCAGGTAGATATGTCTATAAACAAAATGGCCATATTTGGGGTGAGAAAAATTCTCTCATGATACACAAGACACCATAGCATACCCAAAAAATTATTGTATGGTGGGTATTGTGGTCAGATGTAATTTGGCTTTACTTTTTTATGAGTGCTATCGGCTCATGATGATCGATTATGAATTTGAGGATATTAATTTGGAAGACATGTGGTTTCATCAAGATGGTGGAACATATCACACATTGCAGACAGCGTTAAATGTTTTGCATAAAAAGTTCAGAGGTCACATTATTTTAAATCTTGTTGAAGTCAACTAGCCGCCGAGATCATGTGATTTGATGCCATTGGGTTTCTTTTTGTGGGGTTTTCTTAAGAATCGCGTCTATATATACAAACCTTTAATGTCAGACCACCTTAAAAAAGGACATTTTCCAATTTGTAGTCAAGATAACTCCCAAAACTTGTGAAAAAGTTATAAAATATTACCTCAAACAAATCAACTGCTGCAGAATGTCAGGAAGCAACCTTTTTCATATTTTCATCATATGACTGTCATTTTTCATATTTAATGCATATAGTAAATATTCAATTAATCATAATATAACAAAGATAATATTACATCTTGTGATTTGTTTTTTAAAAACTAAAGTTAGGAAATCCAAATTGGATCATCCTTTATTATTAATTTTACACATTAATCTCAACATTTCTGGAATTAATTAAAAACTTGATAAAAAATTCAAAACTAATAGAAAATTTTATTTTATTTCATTAAGAAATATTTAAAAATTATAAATAATTTAAATAAAATTTTGTTAACGAGAATATGTGAAATTTCAGGTACATATAACAGTGGAGGATGAAAATGACAACCCGCCTAAGTTTACTCAATCCCATTATGATATTCGTGTCCGAGAGAACTGGAAACCTGAAACTCCTTTGCTGAAGTTAGCAGTATCAGACTCAGATCTGAATTCAAATGTTTGGTTATCGCTCAAAGGAAAAGGAAATGAACTGTTCACTTTATCTCAGTCAGGTAGCCTGCGGCTCAACCGTGCTTTGGACAGGGAGGAGAGATCTGTTTACACCTTCAGTGTTATTGCAAGGGACCAAGGTATCATCTTATAAAATTTATCTATTACAGATAATATAAACATTTTTTTTTTTTTAATTTGTACCACTTTAACTTGTACAATGAAAGATCTCAGGTTCAATAGTTAGTAAGGAAGTACTGTTTCAAGAGCAATGGTTGTGCAAGGAGGTGTTCGGCCTGGGCTATAAACAGAGGCTGGGTGACCTCCAGAAGGATCTCCCGATATGATTACTTGTTATCAGTTGGATTCTAATCCAGGACCTTCAGCTTAGGAAATCAGAGCTTACCCTGCTCCCTGTATATACTATATTTTATTTATTTATTTATTTTTGGCACTTCGGTCCTGCAAGAGCCTGGACCTCTCTTATAATCTTCTTCCACTCTCCTCTATCCTGGGGAAGCATTCACCATCTTCAGATTCCCATATTTTTCAGGGTGTCCAGCCATCTCAGGCATTTTCCACCTGGTCAATCCTCAAGCAAGTGTTTGGGAATCGCATTTTTGAGCATATGTGCCAAATGGCCCAAGCATCTGATCTGGTTATCCCTCACTATTGAGACCGAACGACCAAACTCGACCTTACATACATCTCGTACAGCTTTGTTATTGGTGCAAATTCTCCATTGTCCATGTTCTCGCACTGGACCATAGATCCTGTGGAGAATCCTTCTGTCCCATGTGAATAGCCTTTTTTCTGATACTTTAGAGACAAACCCAAGTCTCAAAACCATACGTGACAACGGGTCTGATGACTCTTATATACCGTGATCTTTGTTCTATGAGGGCGGAATCTATTATTCAATATTTTTCGCATGGCAAAACAGCATCTATTCTCAGCCGCCATCCTATCTTTTAATTCTTCCACCATTTCATTATTTTCAGTAATTAGTGCTCCCAAATATTTAATGTTTTTGACAAATTTTAGGATCTGGTAGCTTTCCTCTATCTATTGATTTCATATTTAAAATTTAAATTTTTTTTCATATTTAAAAAAAGTTTGATGATTATTTATCATCCCCATAATTTAAAAAATCTTCAAATAAAAATAATTTAATACATGGTCTTTTCAAAATCAATGATATTAATTATAATTTATCGATGGTTAAATTATATTGTTTACCATTACTAGATAACTTTCTATTTCCATTTTTATTTACCCAGTGGTATTAGTGCTCCATGACCTTTCATGAAGTCTATTGTGTTGTTATATGTCATCAATTGCTTTTATTTATTTATTCAAATTTGTGATTTGTTTTAATTAAATCAACTGTATTTATTAAATAAAATGAAAACATATAAGCTATACTACAATAAAGGAAAAAATATTTTAATGATATATTTTGTTTTAGGAAACTTAAGCTCTGAGGCAAGTATCACAGTGCATGTTGAAGACGAGAATGACAACAAGCCCAAATTTGTAGATCTTGCTATATTAAGTGAAGAAGCTAGAGTAGTTCCAGGGACTGGTGACTTAAGAATTAGTCTTGGAAACAAAACAATTTATCAAGATCCCCCGACCAGAAGGAAGAGAGAATTCCCCACTCTCATTATCCCCGAAACAATGTCTTTAGGTGTATCTGCGTTCCGTCTACAAGCCACAGACCAAGATCTAGCAGAAAATGGAACCATTACCTATGGTATAGCCAGTGAAAGTAACATTCCCTTCGGTCCAGTTGTCAAACTTATCACTACACATAATTTTGCTGTTCATCCAGTTTCAGGAGAAGTTAGTCTTGCAGGTCTACCAACACCTGAGTCAGAATATCTTGTAAACTTTACAGCTATTGATGGTGGTGGACTCCTTGATTGGTCTGTGGTCAGGATCAAAATTGAGGATATCAATAACAATGCTCCAATTTTTGAGAAAACCTGGTATGATTTTGATGTACCTGAGGGATCATATAAGTCTTTTGGGATTGGTAAAGTAACCGCTATAGATGCCGACTTTGGACAGAATGGTAATGTCACATATTCAATATTACAGAAAAAGGAAAACTTTTCAATATTTCCATTCAAGGTTGGTCCCCAAAATGGAGAAATCACAGTCAGTGGAGAGCTAGATCGTGAAACCATTGATCTGTATTCTTTCAAAGTCCTCGCTCAGGACAATGGGCCATTTGACAACAGAATGAGATCGACAGTTGAAGTTATGGTTCGGATAACCGATGTAAATGATAATCCTCCTGTCTTCTATGGATACGACAGAGCTTTACAAACAACACCATCCCAACTCTTAGGTTCAGACAGGAAAGATAACTTTGAACGTTCCATCTTACTTCCTGTCTATTTTGCATCTGTAGCTGAAAACAGTGCACCTGGCATTCCAATTGCAAGAATTCTCACTAATGATTCAGATCTACCTGACAATGGAAATGGCATTGTTGTTTATGATATTCTCAGAAAGAAGAACCATCGTCAGCTTTTTGCTATAGACAAAGAAGGAACTGTCACAGTGACATCATATTTAGATTTTGAAACACAAGCTGTCCATAATGTTACAATAATTGCTTCAGATCTGGGTAACCCAAGCCTCAGTTCAACAGCTCTTCTCATTGTTACTGTCGTTGATGTTGTTGAATCTACTGTGGAAGATAAAGATAGAAGTTTGATACCAAACAATTACTATGAACTAGAGGCAAGTGGTTGTTTATTATTATTAATACCGTCCAATTTAATTTGTATTTATAATAACCAATATGCACTAAAATTGTTGAAAATAATTAATACCGTCAAATTTAATTTGCATTTATAATAACCAATATGCACTAAAATTTGATATTGAACTATCCCAGGATCTGATGAATTATTAAAAATGATGCCATAAAATTAATTCCAAAAGATCAGATGTTAAGCTACTTGTAGCCTATCACTGCATCTTGGATAGCATAGAGCTAGTTTACCCCTCTAAATTATAATTATAGAAACAAAATGAAAAAAAAGACAAATAATAAAAATTAATTTTTAAACATATGAGAAAGATTTTATTTATGCTCAATATTTTTATTGGATTTGCTAAGAATAGTGTCAGTAAATATATGTGTTATCAATTATGGTTATTTCTTAGTATCTAGATCATCTCAATTAGTTTGTTAGTGTAAGAGATACATTAATACTCTGTATATTGAACTTTCATACTTTTGAAAATCTCTATATATTGAACTTTTTTTTGAGAATCTTGGATTTTGATTAAAAAAAAGTTCATGAAGTAAAAATATAATATGGAATAAAGTATCTATGAAATATATCAAAAGTCACATTTAAAAAATATAAAAGTAATTGTTATCGAAAAGGTCTTTTAGTTTATTTTCTCAAGAACAGGTAATAATTAAACTAGAAAAAAAACTGTTTCACTGTAGAAAAAAACTGTGATTCCATTATTAAAAAAGTTTGAATGTTTCAGATGAAGCGATATTGAAATTAATTGCATTTTATACCATAAACATTCTTTCTAGCTGCTTCTTTAAACCAAAAAAATAACTGTGATCGTTTTTAGTATGAAATTTCTATGTATTGAGTTATTTTCAAAGACAGTTCATGTTTGATATGGAGAATTTCAACCGTAATTTTTTTTACATAACAACTTATTTTGTTAAATGACAAACTGTTTATTCTGCTGATAGGTTGATGAAAACTGTTATGTTCCCGTGGAACTCCTTCAAGTGAATACTACACAAAATGGACTTCAGTTTACTCTCATAGATGGAGAGGATAGTTCGTATTTCTCTGTCGGTGAGAGGAATGGTTCTGTGTACCTTATCATCAGCCCAGACAGAGAAAAACAGGTGATCAATTTAAAATTAAAAAAGGTTTTATTATATTTGGCTATAGAACTTTTTTTATATATAGAAATATTTTATAACTAAACATATTTGTTTTATAGTCTTTACTGAGAACTAAAATTAAAGTTGATGCTATTAAAAAAGGAAGAAAACTGGTATATCCTGTTTATCCTTCTGATTTGGGTATGTGAATTTTCCATGTCACTATTTATAAATATTTTTTAATCATAAATATTCTTTTTAATGCAATAGTAATGTATTTTGTAGATCCAAATGAGATTCGTATTGTAGTTCGAATAAAAGATGTAAATGATAATGCGCCAAGGTTTGTTCCTAGTGGTAGACCATTTGTTGCTGCTATACCATCATCGGCAACCTATGGTTATCCTATCATACGCCTTCATGTAAGTTAGTTATCCATTTTAAATTTCTATATCTTTTTTCTTCTTTTTATTCAACTGGCAATTTTTATAGAAATTGTTTAATTATTTTACATGTTATATCAAACCTTTCAGGCAGAAGATATTGACGTAGGACTGAATGGTGAGGTGCACTATGAAATAATGGGTCGTGAGGACTCTGACAGGTTTACAATAGATCCGATTTCAGGGCATGTTAGGGCACTTACAAGTTTCGTCAAGGAGAAAGGTCGAGTGTTCGGTTTTGATGTCAAAGCTACTGATAGGCGCGGAGCTCATGATGGAAAAGTAGCTATTACAAATGTTTTTGTAAGTGAAAATACTATTATATTGAAGAGTTATATAACCAGTCAGTTAAATAGAAAGTGAAAAAAATCAGAGTAACCAATAAACAGTTATTTTTCAATAATCATCATGCTCTCTTTTAACAACAGATTAAATTTGTACATTTTTTTCTTTTTTACAGCTTTACTTGGAAGCTCTGTTCTAATTGGTTTTAAAGAAAATTACCTCAGTATATAAATGAGAGCATAATGTTGTAATATGCCATTTTATTTGGATTATAACATCTTTAATTTTTTAAAATATTTTTAAAGGTTTACGTATTGGATGATGACAGGAAATTAGCCATGGTTATGGGGGCCAGGCCAAACGAGATAGAAGTTAACCTTCGTAATATAACTAGGCAAGTGGATTTTCTGTTTAAAAACTGTAATGTCCTGATCTACTTAGTATTACTTTAATGTTATTTATAATTTTTAGGGCATTGTCCAATGTGACAGGTCTCGATGTTAGGGTCAGAAAATTAGAGCCCCATTTTAATAAAGAAGCGTAAGTATTTATTAAAATAATTAATTTGTGGTTTATGATCTTATTAATTCAATTTATAGAGATTTGTAAAGAAATGTAATATCAATTTACATAGTCACAATTACTGTTTTGAAGCAAAAAAGAAATAATAATGATTAAATGTTTTTTATTTAAGTTAAATTTACTTTACTTTTTGCTGTTATATAATTTTTTTTTTATCCTGTTCTTTTTCAGTACTGATATGTATCTTTATGCAGTTGATCCTTTGATGAATGTTATAATTGATTCAGAAACATTGAAGCAGTAAGTTATTTTATTGTATTATTTTTCGCTTTGTTTTTCCTATTTATAATATTTTATTAGTATAAAAAATATTTTTCTTACTAAATTTTCTTTTGATACTAAGACTAATTGAACAGGCTGAATAAATATTTGCAACATTAGTATACAAAATGTTGTCTTTTGGGTACAAAAATAATATTAAACTGCTGTGATACTATGCTTCTAAACTCTAAGAAAGTATTTATGTGTTACACTCATTTTCTTATAATTTGTAAAATACATGAGATGATGCTTACAAAATGGTTATTGACATAAATCGTTACAGAATATAATAGGAAACACCAATAAATCTTATAATTTATAATATATAAAACAAAAAAATTATAGATAGTACATTATTCTTATAGAATACATTTTTTTTTTTTTTTTTTTTTGTGATGAAAATTTCATTTAAAACTTGAAAAGTGATTCTGTCTGTTCCAAAATTTAAACTTTATTTAAATAAAGTTCTATACTCATCTCTACTATCTTTCATTAATTTGCAAAATGATTAACACAAAATAGTCTGCATAGTTATACATAAAAGAAGATTTTTTCTAATTAAAATATTTCTCAATGTGATTAAAATTATGGGAGGACTTAAGGGGGCTTGGTAAACCCCCTTTCCCAAATTCTCTGGTATAGAATAAAAGTGTTACCATATCAATAAAATATATTATTTATGATATATTTATCTACAGTTAGAGCAACATATAGTGCTATTTATTAATACAGAAAATCCTTAAATGATGATATATGTTATGTTACCCCAGTGTGCTGAGGGCCCGTGGAGGAGAGGTTCGTAGAGCAGTAGAGCCCTACCGCCTTCTTGGTTTGGCCGAGGGAGGTGAAATCTCAGGACCAGTAAAGAGTAGGCTCAGTTTATCAGCTCTGGAATTGGCCACAATAGTGTTGGGTTGTATCGTCTTCTTGGGAGCCATCACATCTGCTCTGTGTGTCGTTTGTTTGCACAAGAGGAAGTAAGTTCTATTTTCATTATTTCAAGTTATCAATAAGATGATAAATAAACGTGTACCACAACAACCCATGAAGAGTCTTAGGTTTAATATATGAGGAGGTCCATTTCATACTTCATAATAAAAATATTACTTGTCACAGTAACAGAGTTGAGGGTTCAAGTGGATAATGATAAAAGATTTCATTTTTAGACAAATTGAATTATCCATTTTTTCCTACATTCAAAAACCTAGGAGTAACCTTCGACCAGAATCTCTCCTGGAATAACCATATCTCCCAGATTACCTGAAAATCCACAACTGTCCTTAAATAACTCCTAAGATTCCGTGATTGTATTCCTCTAAAATTATGTCCCTCACTTCGACTATCATTGCTTGGTTTATGGAGAGCTATCTGCCAGGCTAGAATTAAGATTAAAGAAGCTCATGAACTGTTTCATAAGATACCTCTTTGGGATCCCCAAGCGCTCCCATGTTTCATTCAAGTACATCGAGTTGAAGTAGCTTTACCTATATCCCGACGACAATTCCTCCTTATTGTTTTGCTTTTCCAAATCCTCAGAACCAAAAACCTTCCCTACATCCTGGATCTCCTTACTTTACGTTCCTCTATTCATTCTCTCAATACCAGGTCTCAACCTATAGATTTATATATCTCCTCCCACAAAACTACTTCCTTCAACCAATCCTTCGTCATTCGTGTGCTGCCTCCTTTTGGAACTGTCTACCTAACTCCATACGTCCTCGTCCACAAATTTCTTCAAACAACTCCTGTTCCACCACCTGCTCCCTATTCAAACTTCCGCAAACATGTAAAATTCACTTGTGTCTGTACAAAGTCTAATTCAATCAACTGCACAATTGCAATAATAATAAACAGTTAATCAGGAATCAGTTTGTATTCATCTAAGCCAGATTAATATTCTTGAATATGTAACTCTGTTATTATTCTTAGGGGACTGTAGTCCCAGAATAAAATTATTTTTTCATTCATTGAATTATTGCTAATGAATGATATGCTTTTAATATTTCATCCTTAAATTTCCATAAATTCAATAGGTGGAACAGAATTCAGTTGATATAGGTATCAAGTGATGATAAATGTCTTCTCTTATAGCGCATGAAGGTAATGCGAATTGTTTTCACAGAACTCAAAAAATGTTCTTATCTCCGTCAATGGTCATTTTTTCAAGAAATAAATTCAAAATTCCTGTGTTTTTATATTACTGTAGTTTCAATAAATATATCAAAAACCTATTTTAAAATCAATAGTTTTCATATGAAATAAATAAAAATCAATATTGTAGATGATCTTAAAATTTCATAAAATTTTTATTACACAAAGCCTAAAACTTTCTTGGAAATTTTTATTTTTAACTCAGGAGACTGTAAAATAGATATCAATTTTCTGAATCACAATATCTTTTATCAATTAATTATTTAAAGAAATGAAATAAAAGATTAGACCAATGAAAGATCCAAAGGTATAGATAGATTCTGGTAGAACTGCTTTATGATGGACAATGGGTTAACCTTAGGAGTGTTCATTTTTTTATTTTATTTAATATTTAAAGCCCATACTAAACAATTTTTAATATATTTTTTCAAGATTATTAAGAATTTTTTTTGTTTTCTTTCAAGTCACAAATCTGCACAATAGCCTTTCTCACTCGTTTTGATTGATCTAATAAAATTCATAGATGATGGTTTGTGTACTTATTCAAGACTCATGACTAAATTGTTTATTCATGGAGAATGTCTTATGTAAAATACTCTCTGGTTGTTGCAGGAGAAAAGTTGATACCTTCAAAATGGGTGTTACCCCTTTAAGTGCTGATCTGATGTTTCATACTAAAGAAATGAAGGCTAGAAATAACTTCAACCCGAGTGCCTTCACCGAAGGATCAACGGATAGTTATATATCAGGGAACAGGTAAATAATTATTATTTTTGTTAAAATCTCTGATGCTTAATTTTGAATGTATGTTTTTCTCTCACTAACATTTTCTAATTTTCTTGAAAGTGTTTTCTCTTTTATTATGGAACTAATTGCAATTGTTATAACTAATATGATTTGTTTTATCTCATTTAAAAGCAACTGATGACTCTTACTGGTCTATTTTACTGATCTATTTAATGGAAGTTAGTTATCAAATACAGAAACTATTCTGAAAATGTAAATAGATGGTCACCCTCTTTTCCTTTATAATCCTGTTCCCCCACATTTTTCCATTTGGCCACCAATTTAAAGTCGCATTGTTTTTAAAAAAGAGATTAAACAGAAATAACACTATTCATTCTAACTTATACATAAAAAAAAAATATATATCAATTCTTATTTTGCTGATTTACCAATTTTAAAATGGTTGCAATAACAATCTCTAAAGGAAGTATAATATCTAAAATTATATAATTATGTCCCATTATAATTAAGACATCTTAATAATAAATAATAAGTAATATATCTTATATATGAAATAATATATCTTATTTCAGAATGTTTTATGATACACCTATCATTATTAAGAGTGCATTTTTACAGAATTGTGAATTGCCTTTGTTCATAACTTGAGTTTTTTTTACAACACCGTTAGTCATTCTACATACATTACATTACATGTGTTAAGCTCCTTCTCAATCTATGAGAATTTTTTTTTTATTCTTAGAATCTTCTTAATGATTCAGTAAAAATAAATCAGGATTTTAGATAAGAAAATAATACTAATTATTAGATGCTTTAATTATGATATATGCTGAAAGTATGTTTAGTGTATCTAATCTGTTGTCTTCTATTTCGGTGTAAACAGACTTATTATTTTTTATCAATTTGACAGACAGGCCTTCAATACGAGACTACAAGCTTGCTTAAGATGATTTCCCATCAGCTTTAGGAAATTCTATCTTACAGTAGACAATAGTTATACATGATAATTATATTAAGATGAACAAGTGATTGGAAAATCTTCATGTACTTCAGTATTTTGGTTAATTCACTTTGGTTTACACTTTAGCAATATTTCTTCTCTTTAAGCATTTCTTACTGCTCAAGTCTCATTGCTTCCTTCATTGGTTTGATTGACGACTATACTTTATCACCAGTTGCTGTATGATGTTCACTACTCTCTGATTTTCTGGATTCTATCTTGAGTTCTTTCTCTCTATTTCTCTGAATTTTACTCATACAAAAAATGAGGTGATGGATCTTTCTCTTAGGCAAGCCTTTAACGTTGCCAAATTCTACTTTGAACTGAAAGAACCGATATGATAAATTATTATTTTCTTTAGGTTTCACCAGGAATGCGAGCGCAATAGTGTTTGTCCTTCTCTAAAATATGAGGAAACTGATAATGGGTATTTATAAGTATCAAAATTACTTTGAATTTCCACTCCTTATTCTGTTTCTAGATCATGATAAGTAGTCTAATATTTCAATTGATCTTTTTCCCAATAAGTTACTACTGTTAAAGGTCTGAATGTGGATATAGAAGAGATCGTCGAGAAAGGAGGTCTATGATACAGCCTCGGCCGCAGCAAGCATTGAAGGCTTCTTTAGCTAGTGTCCATTCCAGCGGACGGGACTCGGGAATAGTAGAAGCGCCCCACTGCTGCCCATGTTCTCACTCTCCGTCCCACTCATCTGCCAACAGCAGTCAGTAAGTACAATAAATTTTTACCCATAAATAAATCAAAAAAGTATTTATGTGTTCTGTGTAAATATATACAATTAGATTTATTGTAAATACTTTTGACTTTTTATAAACTATAGTTCGTGGTACAGACCCCTTTTTATCAAATTATTAACATCCGTCTGAAACTTTGCAAATAGCTTCATCTCATTATAATCTACAAATATTTTATTTACAAAAATTCTTGGAATTGGGATATTTTTAATCTGGAGATTGGCAAACCTTGTCTGTTCAATTAGGTACTAAAAACTCGTAAATACCCATTGGTTTCCACTTGGATCTTAAGATAATTTGATCACAAAATGGATAGAAAAGGTGGCCTACAAAAATCTTGGACTGTTTGGCATATATAACCTCATTATTTTGATTATTTGGGGGTGGTGGTCACGCCAAACGGCTCAAACATTTTTGAAGGCAACCTTTTTTTTTTTACTTTGTGCTCAAATTATTTTATGATTTAAGTGGAAAGCAAATAGGTATTTACAATTTACCTGATTAAGTAGACAAAGTTTGCCGATCTCCAGATTGAAAATGCCCCAATTCCGAGAATGTTCGTAAATAAAATATTTGTAGGCTACAATGAGATGAAGCTATTTACGAAGTTTCAGGTGGGTGTTAATAATTTGATAAAAAGGTGTCTGTTCCACGGACTACTATTTTTTTACGTGGTTAGACAGTTGCTAAAAAAACACAAAATTACTGCACATAATACAAAAAAACACAGATTATACTATAGTTTATTCTAGATTTAGTAATCTTATTTATTTTAGTGGGAGTTATGAAGATTCATTGAAAAGTCTCCAGCGAAGGCATAGTGACAACAGGAGAAAAAGTATGCGCACCTCACTCCATCCGTACCCGCCACCACTGCCCCCTCCAGCTCTTTCGAGGCATCCTTCTGGACGCCACTTTCAATCATAGCCTTTATTTGTACTATGATATGATAGCTGGGTAAAACAGCAGACTTAGTGTTTTACACTTACTAATAATTTCGGGCATCTAAAACAAAAAAAAAAAGATGTGATAAATTAATAGGAATGACCAAAGAATGTTTAAATTTAACAGTTAAAATTTACTTGGTGAATTAATAATATTCCAGTACTGAAAACCTTAAGAATTATTCAACAGAAAACATTAGTAAATTAAAATTTATTAACTTTAAAAGTATATTAATTATGAAAAAAGTTAATAAAAAAGTCTGATGGTTCGGGAGCTCTTAAGGCAAAAGATAAATTCTGCATTATAGGGATTTCTTGTTACATCAATCAAAGAACAAAATTATTTATATACAGCATTACTATTCATACAAAAGAAAACAATTTGGAATATATTTAGTTTTGATCCTTCATTGATAATTTTTATGCTAATTATTTCCCCAAATATTCTGAAAAACTATCTTAGAAACAAGTGTTTACCAGATGTAAATTGTTGTCTTTTTTTATACCAAAAACTATTCAGGCCCCTGAACATCATTTGCTAGACAGTTTTGTGCTTTTTGCTTCAGTATAGATTATTATATTTTAAATCAAAATGTATTTGAATAGATGTATTATATATTTGTTATACCTTGGTTTACCAAATGAGCTTAATGTCGCATTTTGACTTTTTTTTTTAATCTTTGATTTTATTATTTATTTTATGTTATTAGTATTTAAATTTTGTATTTTAAAAATGAAGATTACATTTTTTGCTTTCACTTATTTTTCAAATTAAATTTCTATTTATTATTTATATATTGCTCAACAAAAAAAAAAAAAAAGAAAAAGTTTATTGATATGTAAATTTTGTATTTAAGTCTATCAAGAAATTGTAAATATGTTGATTTTATTTTTTTCTTCTTGTTGACTTACAATTGTAAATATGTATTATTCAATTTCTGTGTAATTTTTAGCTTATGATATGTATTTATTTCTAAAAACATAGATTTAAGAAGTGTTATATAGAATAATTAAAAATTCTACGTTATTGTTTAGAGGACAGTAATGTTTACTAAGTATTATTCTTCAAATATGTATATTCTGATACAAATTTATGTTTTACCATTATACCATTACCTATTGTTAAGAAAACTTAGATAATATTGATTTTAAAGCAATCAAATGTACAAATTTTGTTGTTTTTGTATTAGTATTATATGTCTTGCCATATTTAATTTTTGTAATAAAATGTCTTGTGTATTAAGTTTTATTAGATCATTTTGCAGATACTACCAGGAAATTTCAAGTTCCTTTTATATTGACTTGTTTTTGAGAAATAATAAAATAAAATTAGATTAATTTTTTATCTTTCATAATATTCTCTCTCATAGTATAATTAGCATAAACGAATGAAAAAAACGATTTTCTATCTGCAATTAAAACTGCTGTGTCTTTCATTTTATATTTATATCTTATTAATATGAAGAGATAAGACTACCAAATAATAATTATTTTGCAAATAAAAAAAAATAGTGGTTGGATTTGATTTAATTATCTTTAATTAGTAACTAATAATTAAAAAATAATATATTGCTATAAAGTATACATCGAAAATCCAATCACCTAAGGCTGTTAAATTAATAGTCAAGGTAAGCTGTTAACTGAAACATAGCTAACAAATCGTTAATTGGAAACCAGTACAAATTACAACACATTTCGTAGACTACTTAAATGGTTACCAAAATCATTATTTTCAAGTTCATTTGATATTTAATTTAATTTGATAAGAAGAGAAAATATAAAGTTATTTGCAAAAGTTGAATCTGGAAGATTTTTATGTTGTAGTGAATTTAATGAACTTAATAGGAGTTGACATGTACTTGAGAAATATATAAGAGAGGACTAATGTATTTTATAATTACACCTTATATTTCTGGTAAATGAAAAACTCAATATATTACATAATTACTAAGTTTTCATTCTATGATTTATTCATTTATCCATTAACCATATTAAAAATATTTGTTCCTTAAAAATTAATATTAACGTCAGCTTCTAAGAGACAAAATGTATTTATTGTAAAATATTCAAGCTACTGCACTCAAGTTAATAGGTTTTTATTAGGTTTTTGAGTTTGCATTGAAACAAAGTGAAGATAAAATAAAGTAAATAATGATAAATATTACAAACAAAAAAAAGCCACTAGCTTAATATCAGTGCTAGTGGACAGTGCTGAGGTTGTGGGTGTGTACCTGGCCTGATGTATCAAGGCTCTGTTTTAAAACACTGAATAGGATCCCATTGTTAATTTTAAAAAAAGGGGGGGATCGAAACAGATAAACAGCAGAAGCAATGAATATTTAGTAGTTTATTGAATAATTATTAAGCGACTATTCCCAATTTAAATAATTATATTAAAATATAGACATAAAGGGTGCTGGGGTAGCCGTGCAGGCTAAGGCGCTTGCAATAGGTAATCAAAGTTAAGCAATCCCTAGTGTGGTACTATCACTTAGATGGGTGACCATCCACCAGGGAAAGCCATGCTGCCCGAGATTCCCCCTTCCCCAGGATATGTGAGACCCGTCCGTCTACTGGAGGCAACTTGCACAGATCGAGTGTAGGACGAGTGTGGTTTTAGAGACAACATATCGCAGTCAAAGATCTTCTTGGTCTGTAGCGCCAAGCGAAAAGAAAAAAAAAAAAAATATATATATATATATATATATATACATATAAAATAACAGAAAAATAAATCAATAACTAAATTGAAGAGATTTGGGTTTGAAAATTTTTCATTTATTAAATGATATATTTATAAATCAATAATATTATCTCTATACATAATGAGTTGAACATAAAATAATGAGTTTTAACCAAATTTTATTTACCTACATGATAATGCAATTATTTTCAAATTAATAAAATGGAAAGGAGATTATATCAGTAATATAAGCATTGATTTAGGTCTCAGTATTCTTCTTTTTTGGTCCCTACTTCGTCGCCTTTTGGGCTGGCTATATAGGATTTTCTTGTGCCAGGAGGTGAGGGTGGGTGTTCGATGCCGGAGTTAAAAGCCCCTCCAGGCACCAGACGCGAACTTGTACTTATTTTATCTCATTTAACTTCCCTTATCAGGCTGCTGCGCAATGAGCGGTGCTGTGCACACGCGTTAGCCCGTCCATCGGGGTCTCAGTAGTCTCTTTCATAAATTCAATCTATAATAAATAATCCAAGTTTCAGATATCATCAGGGAAACAGAACATTTAGGGATGTCCATTCTCCCTAAGATCGATGGCGCAAGAATCCCTATTAACCTCTCCCCAGGGTATTTTATTAACCACTTCTTAAAAACAGTGCAAGCGAAAATAGAATTAGAAAAATCGTTGATCATATAAAATTAAACTAGCCATGTTTTATATATGTATATATGCCATGTATCTCCTGGTGTGAAACTTTTCATTCCGAAAATTCATAACCACGTCGAAATGTGACCTCAAAAAGTAAAAAGCCTTAAAAAATTTAGATAGCACAATATGCGGGCGCCATCAATGAGGGTTTGACGAAGAAACATCCAGTACTTTTTTTAAATTTTGTAAAGAGCTTTGCCGAGCATTGTATCCCTAGTCCCATACAATAATAATACTGAATTTTCGAAAATTTGTATTAATTAATAATAAATTAAATTTATGACAGAGGCTACAGAAGCGAAAATTGAAGTTAAAATATTCACTAATAGCATTCTGGCTTTATTAGCACGTAAAATAAATTTTTGATGTGTATCAAACTATTAAAAATAAGTTTTTGATTTTCTACCGATTTTTTTCAAACAAACTATACATAATTTTAATTACTATTCATTAAATCGATTTAGTGAAAATTTCGTTAAATTAGAACTGTTCATATCCAGCGGGAGATATTGAATAAAATCTAAAAAGTGCGTGTCGCAATTTCATTAAAAATTGATTAATGTACGTGTTGCTGATTCTACAGTGACGACATTACATTATTAATATTTTCCAGATCATGCTGAGGGTGGACGGTTATAGCCTTCCAGAGCTCCAAGAATGATAACCCTGATATATTATATAATTTAGATGAAGAAGAGGCGAGGCGAGGGGTAGGAGAGTACGTAGGCGTTACAGATCAATGTTGGAGCTGATCATTCCAGCCAAATCCTGGAAGATCGAGCATGCTTTTTCCAGGGCTCTGGATATTATTAACTGTTCGATGATGATTATATATTTTTCACAAGGGCTTAAACAGTAATGATTGAGTGTTAGGCTATATTGTATGTAAACGAAACCCTTTGCGTCCTATGCTATTACTACAATCTCCTGGATATGCAACTTTGTATGGAGCTTATTTAATTTCCATAGTTAAATAATTTTCAACATATACAATAAAGATATAAAAATAATACATACATAGGAAACATTAATATATATATGGAAGTCCTGACCCGAATTCCGTATACGATTTAGAAATAGGAATATAAAATAAACCGTAAAGTTTTTATTTATTTCACACAGTCTTTTCTGCCATGTGAAGACATAAAATCTATAGGTCATGGCATGGATTTAAAGAGAAGAAATTTAACGTCCTGATCGTTATAGTAATGTTAAATTAGGATAAAATACTTAGGTTTCAAGAATGTTTATGTGGATATCAAACATCAGAAGGATAAAAAGATCCTCCAAAATAAATCATGTTCATAAGATATTTTAATTTCTATAACAATTATATTAGTATCAAAGGATTTTAAGGGATGCTAAAAACAAATCCAGTGTTTTTGGTTATTTTACTTAGGTTTCACTTTTCATGCAAAATGTGTCCTTTTTGAATGTTTCTTAATTTAAAAACTGCACGTTCGATTTGGCCCATAGTGGCAATTTAGCTATTGATGAAAAAATGGACAAGTAAATATAAATTTTACCAAATTACATCCACTACGACACTACGGATGCGCAAATATATTTTCTTTGGTGCGCCTTTATATAAAAAATGGCTCATTTTATTTGACCCAAAGTTACTGGAAAATTGGAGAATCGACAAAGATGCAATATAGTTTGTAGATGACTGGAAAGAAATATCCCAAGATAGGGAGAGATGAAGTAGGCTTGTTAATCCGGCAAAAGATCTAAAAGGTCTATAATGCCAACTGAAAAAAATAAATCTATTATAAAAAAATGTTTATAATACAGAATAGTACAAACAAAATACTAGGGCTCAAAAAGTCTAATGATAAAGAATATTAGCAAAGTTAAAATTAAAACATCAAATGCTTTTTTAATTTTCTGAAAACAGCTATTTTCACATTCGTTAGTTTATGTCGACGGCGATGTGTCGAATCAATTTTTCAATATGAAATGGAAGTATGTTTCTATCCAAAAGTTGTGCTTAAAAATATTTGTTTTAAAATCAATAAACCTATGATGATCAAACGGCGTTATATTTATGAATACATTTATTCGAATAGATTGAAACTATACTTAAAGATGCGGAACTATTAGGAACCCAAGGATTGGCGTCTCGAATTTGATTCATGGTAACAAGGTTTTTTTTTTTTTAAATTAGTTTAACTATAAAATTAATTTGTATCCCTAGTAGCTATCTTGTCTTCGACTGACAAGAAGGGTATGCCCATGAAAATGAATAATTTAGG